GTTTGGGCCCCTCGGCAGCGAGAGCGAGGACAAGCTCGGTATGTACATGGATCTGGTGGATGGCGTCTTCCTCAACAAAATCATGTTGCAAATGTAAGTAGTCCCGTAAAGGATGAAGGGAAAGCAACTGTCGCTCGGTTAAATTAATTCAAGCGTTCTCTGGGGGAACCTATAGCAGGGTGGTCGCTGGTTCCCCGGTCTGCGACATGAGAGGTTTTCTCTTTAAAATAAAACATACTGGTCTGCAAATCAGGGGAGAGTTTATGGCTTTGATTGGAAAGTTTTCAAGGCTGACAGACCCAGAAGGACTGGGTATTGGGTGAAAGTACTGGTTTTGTATTCCTTTTGATGGGTACTTGAAATTAACCAGCGTAAAGAAAACAAAAACTGCAACTTATAAAGTTTATAAAATCTGTGTTATCTTTTTTTTTTCCCAGGCGGTTATTTTTCTTTAGCTACTAGTATACATTTCAGGGGAAGGTATGTTGCAGTATAAATAGGGAAACAAAAGTACTTTATCATATGAAGCTTTACTGGGAGGGTTGCATCTGAAGTGTTCTTGCATGTGAACTTTGGTATTGAATATGTAATTTGGTGAAAAAAATTCAGTGTTTTTTTTTTTTCGAATGGCACTATAGAGGTATGTCTCAGAAATTTATGAGTAGGTAAAAAGAACAAACATTAATAACTTTTTGACGTTGGTATGTCTTGTTGGTAAAACTCTTCTGCATGTTTTAACCACATCCTTTCCTGTTGCTGCTCTGCTGCATGCAGATTCTGACAGTTGTATCATCTCTTTATTTGCTTTTACAAATTCTGAATTACGTCTGATAAGCAGTTTGCATGGATAAATACTTGACTTGCTACGGAGAAGATTTTCAAAATCACTTACTTTTTGCACTGCACTCTTTCTTCTCGTTGAACTAATTGAAGTTCCAGCAGTGATGTGCAGTGTTAGGCCAAGTCCAAGCACTTACATGAAGGACTTATCGTTAGGAGCTTTAAATGCAATTTTTTCCTGAAAAGTTTAACTTTTTTTTTTTTATAAAAACTTGAGAACCCATGCTCCACCCACTCAAGTTGGCAAGTTTTGTTATCCTGTGGCACCTGGTTGCTCTATCTGAAAAGCTAATAACATTTTCTTCTAATTTGTGTATTAGTAATAGTGGAAATTCTGAAAGGGAACTTAAAACAATGAAACTAGTGAAGATCTGTGATTCAAACAGAATTAAAGTCGGTCACCCCACCTCAAGATAACGCATGAGCAGTATTAAATGGAGTAAAAGTGTTGTTTGAGATGGAAATGTGATGTAAACAGAAGACATAGCTTCTAATACTTTTTTCAAGGAAGAGTTAAACTTTTAAAAGAGAACTTTCTGCAAATTACAGCCTTGAGTGTGAATGTTCAAATCCAGGCTTGTGCTTTTACAAGAGGTGGAGAACAGGAGGATTTTGATTTATGATCATTCTTTTTGGCACGGGGTGACCAACCGAACTATCAAGGAACTGGAGAATTGCGAGTCTGCTGTGTATTTAACTAATGATACTATCACTGTTATCTGTTATGTGAAAGAATCATAATTATTTCAAAATGGAAAAAAAAAAGCGCTCAGTATTTAGTCACTTGCAATTATTGTTTTTTTTGAAGTTATGAAGCTTTTGAGTAAAAGACTGTAGCATTCTTATGCTTCCAGAAGTATTTCAGAAGGGCTTTATCAGCTGATATATACGAACTCAGACATAAACATTCTGTAGCCAGCTACTGAAATATCTCTAAAGAGATGGAAGTTACATGGAGTGTATGGAGCAGCTTAGCAATACTCTGGGGACAAGGAGTGAACAGTAAGCCCTTACTGAAAATAAGGAAAGTAATTATTTAGGCTAACTGAATGCAATGACACTAGCTGGCATTTTGTGGGATATCACATGTGAGAAGTGCCTTGGCATGCTTACTTGCCTTAAGCAGTTAAGAAAATAATTCTATATTTCTTCCAAAAGACATCACTGCCAGCAGTGTCACAGAACGTGTAGGTGGGGGAAGCACAAGCATTGTGGAGTAAGAAACTATCTCATTATATGTAATCAGACAGGTTTTTTTTTTCTCCTTTTTTAGGCAGCTTTGGCAGTGCTTCTGATGGTGTCTTAGGAGGTTGAAACTAAGACCTTTCTGCTGAGAGCCTGAAACTGCTTAAGGAAAGATCACTGTTGTATTAATGTATCCCATCTCAGCAGGGTGCTCAGTAGAGGTGCTGTCTATGACCTTCACTTTTTCTGACTCAGCCTTTAGAACTCACAATGCAATCACTGCTTGCCTGTAAATCAGGAAGGCCTTTCAGAGAGTGTTTCTGCCTCACAAAGTTTTCAGGAGAGAAAAATGTTTTAAAAATGCTTACTCATCAGTTCTTCAAGTCGTGGTCCCTAAAGCTGACTTTCAGTGCTTATCTTAAGATCTTTTCCTCCTAAAATCATATTAATGAGGACTTTTGATAAATCTGATAGAATTTGATATGCCACACTACAGTAATGTTGATTGCCTGAAAGCCACACGTACCCGTGCATGCACACACATGCAGTGAGTAACGATAATGGAGTAGAATAGCTGGGTCCTCTTTATTGATAGTAGCCTTATTACTCATTGATTATTTCCCTTTTAGCTTTTCAGGTTAAATATCATGTTTGCCCACTTACTTGAACACAAATAGGCAGATATATGACCTTACACTCGAACACCAGGTCAAATTTTGAAAGTCTTCTGTGGCACCATGCGATGCAGTACTTGGCTGCAGATTAACAGGTTTCTCTTGATGAAAATTTCAAAAGCCGAATAACAGGAGGATAACATTTCTCAGCAAATTAGGTTGTCCACTCTTGGGAATTTCATCATTTAAAAAAATACTTTTCTCGTGTAGTTTAGCAGAGTTTAAGTTCAGGACATGGTTTAAAGAAGTCTGGCTCTGTAAAGAAATCTAAATACATCTATTGTTGAGATTGCTGGGTAAAAGTAAGGCTTTAACTGTTTGAGGTGCTGAATGGGCTCTACTAGTTCAGTGAGTCTCTAGTTTCTATTGTAATGGTTTAGATTTTGCCCAAATACTGTCTGGCAAATTAGAATGGGTGCAGAAGTTCCCCTTTGCTTGAGGTTGTCATGAATTTTTTAGACAGTTGTGTTCATACTGGCAAGGCAGCTGTGTCACTTGCTGTGTGTAGCATGTACAATGTAGCATGTATCACTTGCTGTGTGTTGGGTGCCTGTAGGCTGTGTGAAAGGAGGGGAGAGTGGGGCTCTGCCCTCTCTCTATCCTCTTTAAAGATGAAATATCCATAGGTACCATAGCAGTGAATAAAATATATGTTGCTTAGGTATACCACATGTAGCCACTATTCAGAGGAAGGAAACCCCTCCTGGGCTTAGGCACTGGTTCTGGCCACGGTCTGGTCAGCAGAAAGCCAGCTGCTGGGATTTGCTGCACTACTTTTTAGATTATACCTAGCAAAGTGAATTCTTCTTTTAAAAGATGATTAGGGATTGCTCAGCTCTGAATTGTGGTTCCTAACTGCTTAACCAGTTAAGTTCAATAGGAAGAGGCAGACAGTAGCATTTAGGTTCCCACTCATCTTTTAAAACAAGACTTAAATTCTTTTTGACTCATTTTGCTGTAAATAAGTGATTTCCTGTGTACTCTCCAAGTATATACCTTACCCTGATTGTGCGTGAAGGACACACTTGCAGATTTGCAAGTAGTAATTGTGCGTTAATATTCTGTATGTGACAATGTTCACGTTAATCTTCACAGTGAATCTTCTGTGTTTCTAGGGGAATTATGTGCATTGGGTTAACGAGCTTCTCTGTGGGAAAATTTTAAAGAAGTTTTTTTTAGAGGGTTGTGTGTCACTTCCTGGTATGAAACTAGCACGTGGGGACCCTGAATTGACTGCCTTCAGCGTTACAGTTGCAGCTGTGGCATAATATCTATTACTGTAAGCAAATATTTACTCTGTTTAACCTCTTATAGAATATTTTGTTTTGGAAATGATGTGGGGGTATATACATACAAACACACAATTGTTCGTTCTGCATTTCTGTTAAAACATTCAAAAAGCAGAAACGTGTCTTAGGAATGCATCTGACAAAACCATTTATATTTAAACCACATAATGAAAAATCACAAAAATAGATTTTTTTCAATTTTGAAGACAGTTGTCATGGTTTGTGGTACTATCAGCCTGTTGTATTTGATTTAGAGCGTGTGACAGGATTAGCCGAGCTGTTAGTCTCTGCTACTTCTAGGTTGTAGTAAATAGTATAAATAATGGAAGATTAAAGATATGCATCCATTTAAATATAACATTGTGTAAAATTGCATTTAAATACGCATTTTTACCGTTTTTCAGGTAATTTAGAAATCAATCCAGCCTTAAGTGGCTTCAGCCCACTTAATTTGAGAGGAGGAAGTTGAATGACATGGCAATTAGACTAATCGAAGACTCTTTAGTGGTACATTTTTAGTTAGTGGGTTACCTGCAGCACAAAGGGCAGGCGGTAGCCAGGGGCCATGCAATGCTAGGAAACACCTGGTATAGCTGATACGTTCTGACAGTTAATCATCCTTGGGCCAGTTTGAGGGCTTTGCCTTTATTCATGAACATTATTTGTCCGAAATTGCTTGAATAGGATTGTCATTTTGAATTTGGAAAACAAAATGATTTTTTCCCATATTTTGTTATTTTTATCTTATTAATTGATGCTAAGCAGCTGAATGTTCAGGCACTTGTGCTGCCAGCCCTATGTATTCTAAGCTCATGACTCAGCCTCTATCTCCCTGTCCTTCCTTTTTTCATTACCTTCCCCCCCCCCCCAAAAAAAAAAAAAAACACAAAAATATATAGTAAGGTTTGAGCCTTCCCTTCTGGTTATTTGATTTAGGTATTTTTCTTGTTTGTGGAGGACTGCCCTTAGTCACACCTCAGTTGTACTGCCTCAGTCCTATTTAGAGAATTTCTTTGATCAAAAAATATGTATTTTTAAAAAATGAATTGCAGTTTTCATGTATTTATGTGTAAGGGAAAGATGAACCATCAATAGACTAAAAAAAAAAAAAATCACAGTAAGGTGGTGTTCAGGGGTTTTCAGATGCGTTCAGGCACAGATTCTTTTGGGTTACCTGTTTACTGTTGCAAAATATCCCTGTTTAATTTTCATTGTGATCGTTGCGAAGAATTTCTTTCAGTAAAACTCTTCACAAATAAGAATGTCACTGACCAAACGAGCGCTGTAACATACAGAGCGCGGTACCAACAGCTCTGTGTTCTTTAAGACAGAAACTTCTTCGTACAGCCTGATTATACAATAAAAGGCATATTCTATGTACAGATTGGGTGTTTGTGCTGTTCTGTCTAGCTTTTTAGCCTTTCTTTCTGTCATGATGAGTTCTTTTTCACTTCTCTAGTGATTTTTCAGGTTTTCTTGGCATCTCATTCCTTTCCTGGCTTTCGCTCAGAGTAAGGGGGTAGCCTCAGACGTGCTCTGTCCCAATGTGTGTCACCCCTTCTCCCTGCTCAGAGGCCTGGCTGCCTCTGGGACTACATCTGCTCTCCCATGATAGGAGCAGACACATACACTGCATCTCCTGGCTCTTCCAGCTCACCTCTTCCACATCCCCTGGGATGTTTCTGGAGCCTGGGTAAAGTGATGTAGAGGAGGCAGCAGCAGGAGGGATCCAGATGACCTCCCCAACGTAAGATGACACAGCTATTTTAGGTGGAAGATCTAATGCATACAATGTTTTTTAAAAAAAATGAAGCAATATTTTATTTGAGTAACAAGTGGCTTGGAACCTTGATTTTTCAGATGTTCATACCTACAGTTATTAGGCTGAAAGATGTCTTGCC